ACACATTCCTGGCCTGCACCTTCCGGGTTAAATCATTCATGAGGATTTATCTAGCCTCTCCACACCCTTTGATTTTGTCCATTTCTCTCCACCCCCCACTGCCCCTCTCTAGTCCAAAATACTATCATCTTTGGCTTGAACACTTAGTAATTGATGTTCCCGCACCCCTCCCCCTGACCCAATCTGTTCTGCGCTGCAGCCGCCTGAGTGATCTTTTCAAATATATCTCTGCCCAAATCTCTTTAAAGGCTTCTTTTATCCTTTATATGGCCTATAGAGTCCTAGATATTCAGGTCCCTATCTACATTGCCAGCTTCATCCTAAATCATCATCTTATAATCACTATAAGCTTCATTTGATTTTTTTTCACTGCAGGGCCTAACCTAGAAGATTCTGTCTTTAAGCCACTCCCTATTCCCCACACAGCTAGTCAATTCCATGTCTCAGTTTAAAAGTCACTTCTGCGGAGAAAACGTCCACAATTCACAGATAAAACATCCCCTTGCTTTTCTCCTTAGTACCATTCGTCTCACTTGTGATTACTTTTCCGTGTCTATCTGTTCCAGTTCACTGTGAGGATTTCTTTCTTTCTGCTTCTTCTTATTTTTAAAGATTTATTTTATTTATTTTAGAGAGAGAGAGAACGAGAGAGCAAGGGGGAGGGGCATAGGGAGAGGGAGAGAGAGAATCTCTAATAGACTCCCCACTGAGTGAGGAGCCAGACACGGGGCTCTCTCCCAGGACACTGAGATCATGACCTGAGCCAAAAACAAGAGTTGACACTTAATGGACTGAGTCACCCAGGTGCCCCTCTTTCTTCTTCTTCTTATTATTTTTTTAAAGATTTTTTATTTATTTGACAGAGAGAGACACAGCAAGAGAGGGAACACAAGCAGGGGGAGTGGGAGAGGGAGAAGCAGGCTTCCCGCCGAGCAGGGAGCCGGATGAGGGGCTTGATCCCAGGACCCCGGGATCACGACCTGAGCCGAAGGCAGACACCCAACGACTGAGCCACCCAGGTGCCCTCTTATTATTTTTTAAGCAGGCTGTCTCCCCAACTGGAGCATAGGTTTCATGCTTACTTCTGGATCCTGATGTCTGGCCCAGGGTCTGACACAATGTTTGAAACTATTTGTTGAACATAAAGAAAAAAGAAACAAATACAGATTCCTCTGTATTTTAAGAAGCTTTTCAAACCAAAAGCAAAAAGAAGACACCAACAAACAACTGGGACTAGTTATCTTTCTTCCTCTAGACACAGACTGGTTACATAACTAAGTAATTTGTACGTTAACTCTCTTCTGTCTTCTTCTGTTTTTGCCCTCATTGTAATAGTCATCTGTGTCCCTCTTCTCTTAAACATACACATTCAAAGCAGATCTTAATTCATAAGTTAAAGAGAATTTTCTGACTGATTCAGTTTGCCACTGGTTCCTTCTTGATGAACACAGAGCACGTTGAGAACAGAAAGGGAGCTTTCTCCACAACGGACTACAGGGAATGCAAATTCTGGGAGGATTTTCAGCAGAAACTGATCAACAATGGATTCTTGTTTGCGTCTTCCACAGAAGTCTTGCCCCTGAGTTTGGGGGCTCACTCCACGTTTGGTCTAGGAGCCCCCCTGTCCTGACTTGCTCATGCCCCACAGCGGCCCAGGGTCGCTGACCTGCTGAAGGCTTCACCACGGTCCTTCCCTTATGTGCCAAGGGCAGGAGCCGCAGTGCCTGGAACCCACCATACTTTTAGGGGCCCACAAAAAAGGTTTCAACCTCTTTTAAAATCAAAAGAAAAAAAAAAGAACTTTCACATCAAAGAAACTATTTTAATATGGTAATATTTATATGTCTGTCCTTATACTAACGCAGCCTTAAAGTATAATTTTTAGTAATTTTTTTGTGGAGAAAGGGCCCTATGAAGGCAGGCGTGCCTAGGGCCTGTGAAGACCTTTCGGAGTAAGGTGGGGTCCGTCACTTTGCCCTCTCCTTCTGGAGCCAGTGCATTGTTTCAGCCTTGCTTTCCCGCACCGCGCCCCCGCCCCCCATCATTTTGAGTGTTTATTTGGATTTCCTCTCGAACCTTCCTCATTGTTCTAAAGTACAGGATATGACACCGCTCAGTTACTAGAATGACTTCTATAATATCCATGACTAGAATATAAATATCCAAACGACTCCACATCGTCAGAAGCAGACAGTCCTCTCAGCTGGGGCAGGCTCTCCCCTGTGGAAGCCTCTGTGGTCCCCCTGCCGGTCTGACGTGAATCCTGTCACCAGGGTGGGTGCTGGGTGAGGCCCAAACCTTGCCGGCACACCCTGGGCCAAGGAATGGCGCCACCAGGCTGCGCCACTGTGCCCTGTCCTCTTGGCGTCCCTCCGCGCCTCGGGGACGCTGACACCACAGGAAGTTTTAAAAATAGCTGATGTCCGAATTACAAGAACAAACAGAAACGATTTTTGCTTGGCCGAAAAGGGCAGTTTATATCATAAGAGCGGTTGAGCCGTCTAAATCCGTTCCCTTTCGGAGCAGCCCCAGAAACCTCCCGTGTGATTTTCTTTTTCTTTCCTGTCACACATTTTACCAAAACCTGGGGAACTTCAAACCCCATATGATATGCATGCAGTTTTATAGTCCTTCCAACTGCTTCTGTCTGGGTCCCCTTTCCTGGCCTCTAGCTTCCCTCCTTTCTCCTTGTCAGGGCTTCTGGCTTCCCTCGGTGCTTTTCATTCCCCACTCCCCTCCTAAATGAAATCCGAAAGCAAGTCGAAGGGAAGCCTAGTAAGTACTGTATCCACGCTGTCCCTGTTCTTACGGGAAACCCTGTGTGGCGGAGGGATTCGCGGAGGGATTCACAGCGTGACCGCAGGAGCAAGCTGCTGGGCTCACAGAAGCTGATGTGCTCTGTGGGGAAAGTGCTGGCCGGGCGCCCGGAGGCCTGGGTTTCTATTCTTGTTTCTTGTCACCTTGCTGTGTGACATGTCTCTTTACCGTCTGGACTCGAGTTTCTTTCTCCTTTGTCAGACGAAGAGCACAGCGTTTCCACAGGTCTACCGAGCACAGTACAGAAGGAGGAAGAGCCAGAGTTAGTTTGGGAGACTTTCTTCGGGATAAGTCAACCTCTCCTTATCCCAACGAGTATTATCCGCTTCGGAGCTCACCCTTAGTGGCCTGTTTTCCCAGCCCTGGGAAAACAGAGAGCGTGGGGGCTGTAGGGCGCTGAACGGAGAGCTGGAGTGCCTCAGACTCTGTTGGCACAAACACAGGCTGATGGAACCGATTTCAGGGAGACCTGTCGTCTTAATACAGAGTGTGTCTTCTCTGCTTTCCTTTAACTTGGAGAAATGATATAAAAAGACCGAAAGCCCTAGTGTATTCTGCAGGAGGTGATCTCAAAGCTAGAGACAAGTTCACTCCCTAAGGAAACAACCAGCAAAGTTCCTTCTGCTCTGCCATCTTACTTGATCCTGATGTTTCGCTGGGTTGTCATTCCTCCAGGTAGCGCGGATGGAGCATCCATTTCGCGTCAGGCTGTATGCTTAGAGCTGGGGATAAGAAGATCATCTCTTGCTTCTTAGAAAGTTTCTCTTTCCATCCTTTCCTCACTACAATCTGTCACCATAAAAGAGTTAGAGTAATATTTTAAATAGGTAGATCCTGTCACTTCCCTGCTCAATACCTTCCAGTGGCTTCCTTTTGTATTGCGGATAACACCCAACCCCAGACTTTTTTTTTACTGCAGGGTCCCGCAGGGTCTGACCTGAGACTGCTTCTCTGACTGCACCCTACCTGTTTTTGTTGGAGACACCAATGTGATTCCTAAATCAGGGCCTTTTCTCAGCCCTGATGGTGGTGGTGGGAAGGACCTCAGGCACACTGAGTTGAGCTGACAATCCTCAGTTCAAGGCACATTGTCATCAGAAGCCTTCTTTTGCTTTGTATATGTATTCTCTTTTAGTCTCAGTTCCCCAATTCCCAATTTTATCCCAGTTCCTCTGGCTCCACAGATAAACAATCTCAAATGTCGAAAGTGTATCTTTCTGTGTATGTGCTCCAGCAGAAAGTGATATTTTGTGGGCATGTATGTTAAAGGTACCTGACTTTTTGTATACTCTTCTCACTCTGCACTAGGTTTTTGAGATCCAGCTATTTTGTTATAGGCACGTTTGCCCACACAGTGAACACATTTTAACTATCCACTCTCCCAAGAATGGATACCACTTGCCTCCAACTCCCCATCTCCAGAATAATGATGTAGGGAGCACCGCGGCACCATGTGAGAACTGCATGCTGGACCACAGGAGTGTGCTTGCTGGGCACAGGGCATGCAACATAAAATAACTTAATTTGCCTTAGTAGTGGCAGATTGTTTTCCAGAACAGCCTCATTGGCTGCACTCCCTCAAGGCCTTTGCCCTTGCTATTCCTTTAGTCTGAAATATTGTTTCCTGGGTTCTTGAAGGGACTTTCTTCTCATCAGGGAGGTCTCAGCTCAGCTATCACTGCTTCCCAGAGGCCTTGCCCAGTCTCACAGTTTTCCCACAACCCACTCTCCCCAGGTTACTCTCCATCATTTTTATTTCCATTTGTTACATCGTAGCATTTTTCACAATTTGACATTATCTGTGATCATTTATTTATTATCTGTCTTCTCCACGACAGCAGAGGATGCTGTCCTGTTCACTAGGCATCTAGCATAGCCCTAGCATATGGTAGGCTCTAAACAAATATTATTGAATGAATGAATGAAACAAAATAAATAAATAGTATTGTGATATCAATATCAATCTGTGATATCAACCTGTTCAAAGCTCTATGGTTAGAAAAGCAAGGGACATAACAGGTATGAGAGGTGGGGAAAGTTCTTAAAAGTATCCTAAAAGACAGATAGGAAGCCCACGTCATCAGCCCCTTCTGCACTCAGTTCTACAAGTCCACACGTTTATATCCAACCCCCGCCTTTTTTTTTTTTTTTTTTTTTTTTACCAAGTTTCCGCTAAACCACACCCCTAGGGCCGGCAAATCCCATCAAGCCCGCAGGGGGGCGCCCAGAACATGGTGGCCGATGAGAACTAAAACTACATTTCCCAGCATCCCGCGCGCCGCCGACCCACTTCCAGAGTGCGCGGAAGACATGGCGGCGCCCGAGGAGCACGATTCTGCGACAGAGGCGCCTCAGTCGGCGGTGCCCGAGGAGGAGGAAACTAAAACGTTTAAAGATTTGGTGAGCGTGGATGACCCCGGCTTTTCTTTGTACTGCAAGCACCAGGCGTAGGCAAATTCCGGTTCCTTCCACCGTGGCTGCTGGCGTACAAAAGCAGCTGGGGCCTAGTTTGGGTTTCCTTCAGAATTGCCAAAGCTTGGGTTCGGACGCTGTCCCTAAGCCCCTGGGTTTGAATGGTGGGAGGGCTGCCCGTGCCTGAGAGTCCCCATTTGCGGTTTTCTCCATTTTGGTCTGGCGACGTTTGTATTTGCCAGGAGACTACATGCCGCCCCCCCCCCCCCCCCCCCCCCCCCCCCCCGCCGCCAAAGTCTTGGGCTGCAGAGTAAGATGAAGGGAGTTTGGATTCTGACCCAGTCACTTACCAGGGGCACGTTGTTACCTCGTCGTGCCTCACTTTGCACATCTGTAAATTGGGGGTACTAATAAGTACTTAATAGAATTGTGAGGATTAAATGGAATAATACATGGGAAGAACTTGGCTTTATCTCTTTGAGTAGAAAGTGTTAAGTCTTGAGGTACTATCTCAGTGCTCATAATTAAAGAGCAGACCGCGTAGGCTCACACTTTTTGAATCAAAGGGTAAGGAATGCACATGTCACCAGCAGGATGGCTCTGACAGTCATTTAATTAGCAGGGAGGCAAGTGTCTATGTGTTCTTCTTTGTTAAAATTTGTTTTTCTGGGGTGCCTGGGTGGCTCAGTTGGTTAAGCGACTGCCTTCAGCTCAGGTCATGATCCTGGAGTCCCGGGATCGAGTCCCACATCAGGCTTCCTGCTCAGCGGGGAGTCTGCTTCTCCCTCTGACCCTCTTCCCTCTCGTGCTCTCTATCTCTCATTCTCTCTCTCTCAAATAAATAAATAAAATCTTTAAAAAAAAAACTTGTTTTTCTGAATTCTAAGGGTGTGACAGATGTGTTGTGTGAAGCTTGTGACCAGTTGAGATGGACAAAGCCCACAAAGATCCAGATTGAAGCTATTCCTTTGGCCTTACAAGGTAGGTTGAAAATTAAATTAAATATGTGGCTCAATACAGGTTCATTATGACGTTATACTCAATTAAATACTTAACCTTTTTTTTTTTTTTAAAGATTATTTATTTATTTATTTGACACCGGGAGAGAGACAGCGAGAGCAGGAACACAAGTAGGGGGAGTGGGAGAGGGAGAAGCAGGCTTCCCGTGGAGCAGGGAGCCCGAAGCCGGGCTCGATCCCAGGACTCTGGGATCATGACTTGAGCCAAAGGCAGACGCTTAATCGACTGAGCCACCCAGGCTCCCCAATACTTAACCATTTTTGAGAGCTATTCTTGCATACTTTGAGTGATATAAAAATATGGCCACTAAAGATACAAAATTTGTGGCTTATTGGTTTTTGAAAAAGTAATTCTCTTGTTCTACAAGAGAGTAGTATGAGACTGACATTTCTAACAAGTTGCTTGCAACTTGTTAGAAATTATGAGTCAGTAAGTGCAGATTTACATAAGGGTGCCTGGAACATCTTTTAGTATCCAGAGGAGTTGAGAGCTCTCGCTTTGTGGGACATGTTTATCAGATTTGCAGAAGAATGGCTAACAAGTTGGTTGATGACTAGTGGGACCAGTACTAACAGGATGAACTTTCGTAGGTATAGAGGTAAAGTCCTGCTCTTAGATTCCCAAAGCCCAACTTCACAGCATTAGGGTTGATAGTAAAAGAGAACTAGCAATGTTAACTGAAATTCATTAAGATCCTTAGAGAAAATGAATGTAATCTTAGCTACATTAAGATTTTTTTTCCCAGAAAAAAAAAATGTATCAGTGTATCTGTACATAGAATTTAACCCCCCCCACCCTGAATTCCTCTGCCACATATCCCAGGTTAAGAACTCGAACTAGCTCCAGAGAGAGAAAAAAGTGCCTTGTACTGATTAGAACACATCTAGAATATTATGCTTAGTTCTGGGGACCAGTTTTGAGGGACCAACTGAATGGCAGTGAATGTGGTATAATATCAAGAATACAGGTGCCTGGATGGCTAGATGGGGCACCTGGGTGGCTCATTTGGTTGAGCGTAGGACTCTCGATTTTGGCTCAGGTCATGATCTTGTGGTCCTGGGATTGAGCCCTGTGTAGGACTCCATGCTCAGTGCCCAGTCTGCTTCAGATTCTTTCTCCCTCTACCCCTCCCTGCGTGCGTGATCTCTTTCACTCTCTCTCAAATAAATAAATAAATAAAATATTAAAAAAAAAAGTCCTAAATAGTTAAAAGAGCTGAGTGCATTAGGTCTGGAGAAGAGTAGAGTTGGATGGGATATGATAATTGGCTTCAGTGATTTGAAGAGCTGTCATGTGGAAAAGTAATTAAACTTACTCTGTGAAATTCCATTTGTTCCTTCCATAAATAGTAAGTATCTAAGTGTAAGGCACCAGAAGTTAAGACTTGGCCGTCTCTAAGAAGTTGGAGTCTAGTAAGGAGATAATTAAAAATCTATTACAAGATGAACAGGGGCATAAGAAAGTTACATTCCAAGTGCACTGATGGAGGAGAATAGATTATTACTCATTGGAATGGATTAGAGAAAACTGACTTTATTTTTTGGCTGGGAAGGTTGGAAAGACATTTGAGCTGAACCTTGAAGACTGAATAGGATTTAGACATTCATGTCTGATGGGAGGGGAAGACTTTCTAGGCATAGGGAACGGCATGAAAAAAAGCTAAGGAGGCTGGAAAGCATGGGCATGTGTGGAGGCCTGCAAGTACTTAACAGAGAATGGGGGAAAGATTAGTAAGATCGTTGGGGCCAGATGATGCCGGACTTAAATGCTGGGTAAAGGAATTTGGTCTTTGTTTCATGGGCAGTGGAGTGTCTTTGGAGATTATTTTTTAGCAGGAGAATGAAATCCTTGGAGTTGTGTTCTTGGACTATTAATCTCATAGCTTTGTAAGGTAGTTTAGAGATGAGGGACCAGAGGCTGGGGACCAGTTAGGGTATTGTGGTAATTTTGGCAATAAATAAAGGGTAGGGTAGTGGTAATGAGAATGAAAAGGAGAAAATGATAGAAAAGGAATCATCATGATTTTATAACCAGTTTATTAATGGAAGGCAAGGGGTGGGGAAATTGAAGATTATTGCCTGTGTGTTTAGGATATATTACTGTGTGTTTAGGACATATTACATATTAGAACATATTAGGTGTAAAAAGGAGCATAGGAGGAAAAATAATTCCAGGGAAGAGGAGTTCAGTTGGAAATAATTGATTTCAGGCATCAGAGAGATAGAATTAACTAATGCACAGTTGGATTCTGGGGATTAGAGCTTGCTTAAGAGGGCAGAACTGGATACAGACATCATATCCAAAGGGAAGTTGTAGCTGAAACTGTGGACATGGGTGAGGTTGCCACATAAGGTCAAGAGATGGTGGAGGCTCAGTAGAGGGTTGAAAATCATGAGTACAATTTCATACAAATTAGGTGAGGAAGAGTGTTTCAGGGAAGGGATAGTAAACACTTGGAACTTGTTTAGAGAAGCTAGCATAAGGACTGCACAAGTGGGGAAGAAGTATCAGCAGTGAGAGCTACTGGAGTTGCTTTCAAATAGCAAAAAGAAGGGTTGGTGCGTTCCGGCATTTTCCTGGTTACCCTACAGCAGGTGTCAGAGGAAGGAACGCAGATTAGGTGGTGGTAATAATTCTGAAATTATTCATGTTTTCAGTAACAAGTTTGTATTGAATGCAGAGAAAATAAGAATCAGTGAAAGATTACCAGGAACTGAGTAATGTGGTTGACATAATCATCATGGAAAAAGTCTTTATTCTTATTCTTGAGTTTATCTCATTCTAATGAACAATTTATAAATGCTTCATTAAAAAAAAAAAACCCTGTAGTTGCTGGCCCTAAGCAAGAGATTTAAATAATCTAACAATGTTTTTCTTTTTTCTTCTATTAAATGAACTTTAAATTTTTTGTTTGAGTACTAATGATGGTGTCAGTTTCGGAGTTAATGGAATTCTGGGCACATCCATTGTTCTTAAACCTTATAACAATTCTGAAAGGTAGGAATGATTACTTTATTGGTGAAATTGAAGGTCAGCAGATTAAGTACCTTGGCTAGAGTCACATAACTATTGGTGGAGCTAGAATTTGAATATAGGATGTTCTAGCTGAAAAGCCTGTGTTCATGGCCATATATCACAGAGTGTTACAATGGAGAGATCAAAATCTTTTGGTGGTTTTGAGGATGCTTTTCTTCCTATTTGTTTCATGTATTAAGTCGATTTCTAATTCAGAGATCACTCAAAGTCCTCTAGGAATTTCAGACAGTTTTTGAATGGCTGTCATATACCAAGCAGTTTGTTAGGTGTTGGCAGTGTGACCAAGGTGAATGAATTTATTCTGCTCTTATGGGGTGTGTATTCTACACAGACACTACCACTGCAAGGGCTTAAGGGTTGTGAGAGGACGAAAGGAGATAATAGAGAAAAATTAGTCTCACAAAGCGAGTATTGCTTTGAGGAGATGGTAAGAGAACTGCAAGCAGTGCAGGCCTTTGCTGGTGGCAGTGGGCGTCGCTCACAGCCACGTGAATCGAGAGACTTAAGCTCCTTTACTTCTTTAAATCTTTCTTGTATACTCCTTTCTTCCAAAATTTTAAGATTTCCCCTGACAGAAAAGGAGGACAGATCCCACTCTTTTTGTTTTTGTTTTTTTCCTGTTCCAGAAGGCACGCTTTATCCCCGGCGGCAGGGAGTGCAGAATCCCCACAGAGTTGGGGAATAAAAAGCTTTGGAAGCCCTTAGTTCACAAATAGGTGTATGCTGTTGCAGTTCATTGTCACTTACCCTACGACCAAGAGGAACGTTAAAGTTAGTAAACGAGGGAGAAATTTTACCCCTATATTGTTACTTGTTTTTGTGACCTTAACAAAATTAGCCCATTGTCTGGTCTGACTTATAATTCGTATCTACACCTGTACTTCTATATGGAAAACATTGATGTTACTATTAGAAGGGTAAAGGGTTGCGTTTGCTAGACTCTGCTGTTGTTTGATCTGGCATGGCCTTTCCTAGTTTAAGTGATTAATGTCTAAGAGATGAATATTGAAAAGCCTGTTCTGTTCTGTTTGAAATCAGTCACTCTGCTTTCTTGAAGCCCTCATTCTCCTCAATTTCAAGCCAGTATTGTCTTCTGTCTTTCCAGCTGTTCTTTCTCAGTTTATTCTCGTTCCTTTTTCCTTGCAATGTTAAACCTATCTTCATCCTTTTTTTCTCACTCTAAAACACTAGTAAGATTTCTCATGCAGTCCTGAAGCTTTAACAGTCTGCATCAGTGAATCTCAGCCAGTGCTCATCAGAATCACCTGTGGAACTTGTAAAACAATAGAGATTTCTAGACCTACTGAATCAGAATTTCTACATGTGTGACCTAGGTATACACACATGTAAAAATCTCATAGATTATTCTAATGTGTCTGCCCTTGGGGGAGCACCACTGTTACGATGCTCATGGCTCCCATGTCTCTGTTTCTAGTCTACATTTCTCTGCTGAGCTCCAAACAAGTATGTCCAACTGGTTTTTAGATATTTCTCTCTGAGCGTATGGCATAAACCTCAAGTTCCCTATGTTCAAACCAGAGTCATTGTTTTCCTCACCAGAACTAATTTTCTGGAAGCCCTTATCTCAATTTATGGTCTTCGAGTTTCCCAAGCTAGAAACCCACGTGTCAACCACATTTCCTTGCACGACTTTCTACATCTCACTTGTCTGGCCTTACTGCCTTGCCTCAGTTCAGACCACCATCATAACTCCCCTGGTATCGTCATTGAGCTCTCATTTTCCTGTGTGTTCCCCATTCTGTCTCTTTGGGTCATTTTAGGTCATAAAGAAGAGAGTCATGTTCAGCTAACCTCAGGGAAAAGGAGTTTATTGTAGGGTTAATCTCTAGGTAAGGAAATCTCAGCAGTTGTATACAGTCAAGGAACAATGTGAGCATCAACTGGTGGAGGGCATTTTTACTAAGAAGCATTCCCAGGGGGTCCTGTTCTAGTGCACAGCTACCTTGTGAGCTGTAGCCAGCCAGCCTAGAGATGGTGGTCTTGCTTTGGGAGTTAATTTCCAAATCTTATAGCTGTGGCTTGATTGGTGATAACAAACCCCGGGGACCTCTTCTTAAGGGATTACTTATGGCATTCTTCCCTCAGAAGAAGCAATGGAAATGGCCTGTTGTGTTGAGCTCTTTGGCTCTTTATGCCATCAGGCCTAGGGTTTCTCTTCCTAAGGAATAACATTGATCATGATGTTCCCTGCTTAAAATCCTTCAGTTCCTCCCTCTTAAAGGAAGACATCAAAACTCCCTAGCATGGCTTATGAGTTTCCTTTCTAGCCTAATTCTCCTCCCTTTCCCCTCCTTAACACTTCTGTGTTCCGGCCATATTGTACTTCTCATTCTCCCTGCACATGCTGTGTTCTTTAAAGCCTCCATCCTCTGTCCTCATATAAGAATGTCCTTCCTTTCTTTCTTTACGTCCAGATTTAATTTACCCATCGCCTTTGTTAGCCTTTCTTGACTCCTGTGGGCAGTAAGTTACTCCTTCCTTTGTGGTTCTCATTGTATTTTGGAGGGGCCTATTTTTTAAAGTCCTTAGCACATACCATCTTTGTGTATGTCATGCCCAGATTTTGAGCTTATCTAGGATGAGACCATGTCTTCTGTCTATTCAGCCTTCCTCTCCCTCCAGTTCATCAAATGTTTATTCTTTGTCTCCTTTGTGGCCACATTGGGTCATTGTAGAAAATATGGAAATAATGTAGAGAGCATTTCTTTGCTTTTAGATGTTTTCTTTTTCTTCCTAGGTCGTGATATCATCGGGCTGGCAGAAACTGGCTCTGGAAAAACAGGGGCCTTTGCTTTGCCCATTTTGAATGCCCTGCTGGAGACGCCCCAGCGTTTGTTTGCCTTAGTTCTCACACCCACTCGAGAGTTGGCCTTTCAGATCTCAGAGCAGTTTGAAGCCCTGGGGTCTTCTATTGGTGTGCAAAGTGGTAAGTGTCTGAGAGGAAAAAAATCACAGAGTTTCTTCACAAGTTGAGAATGAGTATAAAAGGAGAATAGAAGGAAGTATTATCAACATGAGTTCATTGACCTTAAGAGCCAAGTTGGTATTTTAGCTTTGGGGAACGTTGTACAGGAAGAAAAATTTAAGTAGAAATCTAGCGCTGGCTTTAAAAGATGTTCAGTGAACTATGGAAAAAATAAAGCCTCTCTCTTCTATATTCTTTTTATTTCTCTAGCTGTGATTGTAGGTGGAATTGATTCAATGTCCCAATCTCTGGCCCTGGCGAAAAAACCACACATAATAATAGGTGAGTAATTGGCAAAGGTAAAAGGCACCGTTGATGATGAATTGAAGAAAATTGACCGATATTGGGTGTAACTTGTTTGTGTGGAAAGACTTTGAAGAAAGGATTTTTGTAACCCTGTTTAATTTTTTTAATTTCTGAAATTTGGGGGTTGGGGGAGGTGGGGTGGTTGGTAACTTTCTTTTTTGTCCTTGTTCTTAAACACCGTCTTTCTCCTCAACCTTTCTTGATAGCAACTCCTGGTCGATTGATTGACCACTTGGAAAATACAAAAGGTTTCAACTTAAGAGCTCTCAAATACTTGGTCATGGATGAAGCAGACCGAATATTGAATATGGATTTTGAGACAGAAGTGAGCATTCGGTTTCTTTCCTCCTCTTAGGGCATCTCAGGTGCCTTGTTTCAAAGTTTGGTTCATTGCACACCTGCTTTATATGGAGCCCTATATCATCATCAGTTAATTTAAACATCTCTGCTGCCTTTTCTCATTCTTGGTGCTCTTCACATTGTCAGTGCCTCTTTAGAATGTAGTTTGACTTTGATTTCAGACATGAGAAGTTTCAGCCAGATTTCCCTTCCATTTCATTTGATTTATACCTCTTTCATAGACTTTGAAATATCTTTATTTTTCTGTCATCATAGCTGACCCACTCATCATAGCTTGCTTAGTTGATGAACACTTTTCTTGACTTTTCTCTTAGATTAGCTCGACTCTGATTTAAACTTCTTTTCTCTGAATGGCATTTTTTAAAATAGCATCTGGTATGGTATCAAAAAGTAAATATTCAGTAAATTTTAGCTGAATTCAATTGAATTTTTGAGGCCCCAGATTCCCACAGTGATATTTGTAGTTTTTTTACTCTCTCTCTCCTTCACAAAGAGTATTTGCAAGTGTCCAGTCTAAATGTTATATTGGTATCCTTTCTTCTTTGTGCCTTAGGTTGACAAGATCCTCAAAGTGATTCCTCGAGATCGGAAAACATTTCTCTTTTCTGCCACCATGACCAAGAAGGTGAAATTTTCTAGGACTTACGTTTTTTTCTTTATTAAGTGATAAATAAAAACAATAACAATAATAAAAATAGAGTATTTAAGAATCAGTGTACTACTCCAAGTTTTCTTTCTGTAGGTGCAAAAACTTCAGCGAGCAGCCCTGAAGAATCCTGTGAAATGCGCTGTTTCCTCCAAATACCAGACAGTTGAGAAATTACAGCAATATTATCTTTTTATTCCCTCTAAATTCAAGGTAAAGTGTTTACTTTGATCATTCCTGCCTCTCCCTCTCCTTCCTAAGCAAAGCACCTGAAAGTGTGTCCACTTTTGATTAGCTAAGAGCTGTGCTCCTGTTTGTTTTAGAGCGCTTACTGTGCTTATATTTATCACTGATAAAGTCAGACATTCCGGGAATTCATAGCATGCTAAACCACAATAATGATGTAATTCCTTTCCAGCCCCATTCTTGAAGTAGCTTTTCTTTTGTCTACTAATTATGTGGCTTCTTTTTTATAGGCAGGGACCCTAGTTTTGTGCTTTGATGTAGGGACTTTTCCTGGTTGCTCAATACAAGGAGTTGTGTTTGACTTTAGGCTGTATGTGAGATTCATTGTTCACAGACATGATAATGCTGCTTTCAGGAATGCAAAACTGGCAGCTGGAGTCTGGAAAATTGAGAAGCAACTATATATAGGCTTAGTCTTTTACATAATTTATATGCCCAGGACTCCAGTCTTTTCTTCTAGGTTCAATTACTTACATTGTTTTGGGTTTGTAACTTAGGATACCTACCTGGTTTATATTCTAAATGAATTGGCTGGAAACTCCTTTATGATATTCTGCAGCACCTGTAACAATACTCAGAGAACAGCTTTGCTACTCCGAAATCTTGGATTCACTGCCATCCCCCTCCATGGACAGATGAGTCAGGTAAAGATTCTTTGGTGTCATTAGTAGTGAGCTGGTGGCATGAGAAGGGTAAACTTTATAGCAGGAGATCCATACAAAAACAACATGAGACATTAATGTATCTTCCCAGAATTATTCAGATTTTATGGGCTTTAAAGTGTTGCTTTGGATGCCTCCTTCCTTCCATGATAGCGAGAGGCTCAAATTGGAATATTCCATAGTTATTTATCTGGTATGGAAGCTCTTGAGTTGATTTATTCAGCCCTCTAGTGGTAATAGTGATTCTTTGGTCTCAAAAGATTTTTAATAAATTATTTTTCAACTCTCTGTCATGTTAAATCATCCTTATCTCATGTTAGTATCTTCTAGCCTTAGTCTTAAATATTTTTTGTGTTGCTTCCATGTTTCCCTTTGACCTGTGAAGTCCAGTCTGGATTTAGGGGGAAACATCCTTTTGAAAATTTCTGTCTCTGTTCTTAATTTAGTGTGTCTATCAAGATAGACACTAAATTCTAAGATTCCTTAGCGTTCCAAGATTAAAATTTTTTCCATTTCTTTTCATCATCTCAGAGCAAACGCCTAGGATCCCTTAATAAGTTTAAGGCAAAGGCTCGTTCTATTCTTCTAGCAACTGATGTTGCAAGCCGAGGTTTGGACATACCTCATGTGGATGTAGTTGTTAACTTTGACATTCCTACCCATTCCAAGGTGAGTCCTGTCACTGACCTGACTTTCTAGTCCCAAAGTATATTTCTTTCTTTTTTTAAAATTGAGGTGTAATTGGCATATAACATTAGTTTCAGTTGTACCACGTAATGATATGATATTTGCATATATCATGAAATGATTGCCACAAGTCTAGTTAACATCTGTCACCATACATGGTTACGAATTTTTTTACTTGGGATGAGAACTTTTATTTATTTTATTTTTTAAATATTTTATTTATTTGAGAGAGAGAATGAGATAGAGCATGAGAAGGGGGAGGGTCAGAGGGAGAAGCAGACTCCCTGCTCAGCAGGGAGCCCGCTGCGGGACTTGATCCCGGGACTCCAGGATCATGACCTGAGCCGAAGGCAGTCGCTTAACCAACTGAGCCACCCAGGCGCCCTCCTTGGGATGAGAACTTTTAAACTGTACTCTCTTAGCGGCATTCAGATGTGTGATACAGTATTATTAACTGTAGTCGCCAGGCTGTGGGTTACAGCCCCATGACTGACTTATTTTGTAACTCGAAGTTTGTGCTTTTTGACCCCTTTCACCCAGTTTATCCACGACCCCCATTATTCCCACCTTTGGCAGCCACCAGATCTGTCCTCTGTATCATGAGCTCAGTTTGTTGTTGTTGTTTTCTTTTTAGATTGCACATGTAAGTTAGCTCATACAGTATTTGTCTTTCTCGGACTTATTTCACTTAGCATAATGTCCTTAAAGTCAATGTCTGTTGTTGCAGATGGCAAGATTCAATTCTTTGTTTTTTTTTTAAAGATTTTATTTATTTATTTGAGAGAGAGAGAATGAGAGATAGAGAGCATGAAAGGGAAGAGGGTCAGAGGGAGAAGCAGACTCCCCGCCGAGCAGGGAGCCCGATACGGGACTCGATCCTGGGACTCCAGGATCATGACCTGAGCCGAAGGCAGTCGCTTAACCAACTGAGCCACCCAGGCGCCCTCAATTCTTTTTTATGGCTGAATAATATTCCATTGTAGCCAAAGTGTATTTCTTTCTTTCTTTTTTTTTTTTTTTAAAGATTTTATTTATTTATTTGACAGAGACATAGCGAGAGAGGGAACACAAGCAGGGGGAGTGGGAGAGGGAGAAGCGGCTTCCCGCTGAGCGGGGAGCCTGATGTGGGGCTCGATCCCAGGACCCTGGGATCATGACCTGAGCCAAAGGCAGATGCTTAACGACTGAGCCACCCAGGTGCCCCTCTTTTTTTTTTTTTAAGATTTATTTATTTATTTGAGAGAGAGTGAGTTGAGTGGTGGGAGGAGCAGAGGGAGAGGGAGAGGCAGACTCCCCCTGCTGAGCAGGGAGCCTGGTGTGGGGCTCGATCCCTGAACTCTGGGAGTATGACCTGAGCCGAAGGCAGACCCTTAACCAACTGAGCCACCCAGGCGCCCCCAAAGTGTATTTCTTAATGGAGTATTTTCTGTCCCTCCTTAGTCGCAATGTCATTTTATTTATTTATTTATTTTGTCCTCAGTTAAGTATCAAAAACTGGGAAAGCTCTTGATTTATTCATTCTCTTTATCTTGCACGTGCTTGAAGATGTGATATTAATAAACGTGAAAGAAGGTAGCCAAAGAGAGGTAGTGGGTGCTTACAGCCAGAGGGGTAGGTGCAGCATATGCTGATCTTTGTCAGTCTCATTTCTTTAGGATGGTAAGCTCTTAGTTCTTAGCGTATCTCAGGGTTTCTCAGCTTTGGCACCATTAACGATTTAGGCGAGCAGATTCTTTGCTGTGGGGCTGTCCTTTGCATTGTAGGATGCTTAGCTGCGTTCCTGGCCTCTACACACAGGTGACATTGTGACAACCAGATATGTTTTTTGACATTTCCAAATATTCCCTGGTGAGGACAGAATTGCCCCCAAAACAACTAGTATCTATTGGCTTTGTGTTTAACTGCTGTCTCATTTGATTTTGACAATGACTCTGAGTTTGGGCATGCATTTCTATCCTGTTTTATAGAGAGAAACCAATTCAGAGAGACTGTGTGGCTTGGAGACAGTGGTGTAGCTGGTAGGTGGTAAGACCAGAACCATAATCTAGGTCTGCATCTAGATCCAGTGCTGTTTTCCTCTAGACCATGTGGATACACTTTAGATTTGTCTTTCTGTAAAAGAAAAGAAAAAAGTCAATTTAGTGCTGCAAGGAGAATAAAAAAGAGGAAATAGGGGCACCTCGGTGGCTCAGTGGGTTAAGCATCTGCCTTCAGCGTGGGTCATGATCCCAGAGTCCTGGGATCGAGCCCCATGCAGGGAGCCTGATTCTCCTTCCCCCTGCTCATGGCTTGCTCTCTCTCTCTCAAATAAATAATAAATAAAATCTTAAAAAAAAAAAGAGGAAGTAGATTTATCTCAATCTATTGCCCAATCCATTTTTCCATGTTTCAACACAAGTCTATTTTCTTTTCAAAGATTTGCGGTAAAACTCTACGTTCATAGTTTTTTGTTTATATTTTATGTAACTCACATGTACACTTTTTGTTTCAGGATTATATCCATCGAGTAGGTCGAACTGCTCGAGCTGGGCGTTCGGGAAAGGCTATCACCTTTGTCACACAGTAAGTGAATTGACTTTAGGGGCAGAACCATGGAGAGAAAAGAGCAGAGCTTTGGAGCCGACTGACTCGGCGCCTGACTTTGCCATTTGCTCTAATTGTCCCTTAACCTCCCTCATGCTGTTTTCATCATTTGTAAAATGGAAATAATACCTACCTAGCAGGGTCTTAATGAAGGTTGGTGATACACATGTAGAAGATGTAGTATGGTGTTTGGCACACAGAAGCACACAAAGAAACCCCTGCTGTTTTTTTTAGCTGCTGAAGCTGGAGCGCAGTGACCTTTCCCTCAACTCAAAGTATTAGAATAATTATTTTGGTTTTGTTTCTAAAAGAACAAATTTTTATGTAGCCAGGGTTTTTCTGGGAGTAAAGAATACATTGGCCAGTTTCTAGTGGACTGTACAGAAGATGGCATGTAATCATTATTAAGAGGAATAATGGATTTGGTAGTGTTTAAACCTGGATCCTGTTGCATCATATCACATAATGTATACTTTTAGAATGGACAGACATTTGCATTGTCAGCCAACCAAAGCCATGCCAATTTTCCTTCTTCAGGTATGATGTGGAACTCTTCCAGCGCATAGAACACTTAATTGGGAAGAAATTGCCTGTGTTTCCAACACAGGATGATGAGGTTATGATGCTGACAGAACGTGTGACCGAAGCCCAGAGATTTGCTCGCATGGTATGCAACTTATTTTCTCACCAGCTTAAATGCAAACAGTGTTAGCTGTGTGCTAGACGCTGTTGTATGAATCCTCCTAACAAACCACGGGAACTCAGTATTATTTTAATCCAATTTTAAGATGAGCATACTAAAGTATAGAGTTGGTAGGTAATTTGAATAGGAGTTTGGGCTCAGTATGACCACAGTGACCACATGCTCAGCCTCTCTTCTGTGTTTCACGTGTAGCAAGAAAACCTTTGGATTGGAGATCAGAAGACCCAGCTGTGAATAGGACATTGTGGGTTTGGACAGTGCATCTAACCTCTCAGAATCAGTTCCTCGCCTGAAAAATTGGGAATAATAATTACCTTGATACTCTACGAGGGTTTTTTTTGGCACCAGATAAGCTAACGTGAGCTACGTAGTTACTAATAGCAGTAATAATAGTGGTGGGGGTGTACAGGAAGACTCTAAAGGAGAATCCTAGCAAGTGCTGTCTGCTCCCTGTAGTGCTAGTTTGAGGGATAAGGCAACTCTGAGTAGCCAATGTGTGGACTTGTTTTTGTTTTCCTGCTCACATGGAATTCTTTGGTATTTTGGTTTATAAAAGTATTATATGTACATTGGAAAAAACTTCAGAAAATACAGAAAAGATTAAGATAGCAAAGGAAACATATAAGCCATCCCGCACAGAGAACATTTGGCTATTGATAACATTTGGCTATTTTTCCTTTTTTAGCCATACTTAGATTTTTATCTAATTGTATATGATAAACATTTTTCTGTTTTAACAAATAGCCATGTGATCACTTCTTAATGGCTACAGAGAATTCCATTATGAATATATAACACGACTTTTATTGGTGCATGTTTATGCTTTTTCACATGTTTTGTATTTTAAGTGGTACCATGTTGGACATCCTAATATGTATAGCTTTGCATACTTGTTTCTTTTGAATGATTTCTTAGAAGTAGAATTAATTGTTGGGCCGAATTAATTGTTGGGCATCCGTAGAGAATGCCAGATTTCCCGCCCCTCCCCCCTGAAAAGCTATAGCAGTTTAAACTGTCAGTGACAGTACATGTGGATGTCCCCACACCTTGACTAATAAGAGGTATTACCATTCTCTTAAATCTTTGCTGCCATGTGAAAATAATAGCTTATTGTTTTAATTTTCATGTAAACATTTTTGTGTATTGGGATTTGGGTCTTATCCCTCTGCGAATGTGAGGTGTTAGGGAGTTACTTAGTGTTCGATTTTAGGGAGAGGAGACCAGGATGTGTTACCCTCTGTGACAGTAACTTTCCCTCCCATCCTTCCTCTTTTCTTGCAGGAGTTAAGGGAGCATGGGGAAAAGAAGAAACGCACGCGGGAGGCCGCTGGGGACAACGATGACATGGAGGGTGCTATGGGTGTCAGGAACAAGGTGGCTGGGGGAAAAATGAAGAAACGGAAAGGCCGTTAATTTCTCTTACAAAGACTCGATTTCAGCCTTCTGTTCCCTAAAAGGGGATTGTAGGAGAGAATGAAACCTCCTCCGGCAGAGTTCCTCAGACCAGAATCTGTCAGAATGATGTCCAGAACCTCCTCTCGGTACTTGTTCCCCCCTTCTCTAGAGCACCATGACTGCAGCGCTGAGGTCAGCTTTGGGTCCTTGGAAATGACCTGAGTAGGATGTGCTCTTCTGTCACTTCACATAGACCTTTTGCTTTTTCAGCTGAAAGTCAAGGACTAGGTTGATGAAACGCTGGACCTGTTATTGTAAAGGGAAGCTCCTACGTATGTAAAATGGTGATACTTTAAGCAGTCTCAGCTTGTGCTTCATTGGACCTAATGTGGAATAATAAATTTAAATATTATTTTTAAAAGATTCAGACTCCTTGAAGACCTTTATAGGTTGAGGGACTTTAGAGATTTAAGTAAGATCTTGCTAATAGGTAAGAAATTGCGAGTGGCAGTTATGTGGCAGATTCATTGCTCATCCTTAATTAAGATAAACATTATTTATGATTTAAAAAAATCCACAAAGGGAGCGCCTGGGTGGCTCAGTTGGTCGAGTGACTGCCTTCGGCTCAGGTCGTGATCATGGAGTCCCAGACTGAATCCCACATCGGGCTCCCTGCTCAGCAGGGAGTCTGCCTCTCCCTCTGATCCTCCCCCCATCATGTGCTCTCTCTCTCTCTCATTCTCTCTCAAATAAATAAATAAATAAAGTCTTTAAAAAAAAAAGATCCACAAAGGAACAGGATGATGGATGGCTTTGAAAGTCCTGCTTAAAAGGAGGTTGTGTTTTTTTTGGTGATGGACCAAAGTTCATAAGTAAGACTGCAGATTCTGTTAGATCACTAAATAGATTCACTTCCCTGGCTTCTTGTATTAAACACTTGGATAGGAAGACTGGTTTCTTATATAGACTCCTATCCCCACGTAACTAGAGTGAGATCAAGAAGCATCAAAAATAAGGGTAATTCCAAGACCCAATTTCACCCCCTTGTCATCGATGCTCATTGGCTAATACCCTTTCTTTTGTCACCATCTACTGGGTGACGTAACTCAGGAGACGTAAAGCTGGGCCATCAGCTCCTGGAGAGAAAATAGACCGTGGCTCTGTAGGGACTGGTTGGCATAGGGGAGAGTTGATAGAATGCAGAAACAACTGTGAGCTTCATGGTTGTGAACAGTCTTGTGCTCTTTTAACTCAGAAGACGCCTAATCATTTTTGTCAAATGTAACAATTTTATTAGAAGAGGATGTGTCTGGAGTGGCAGAACCAGGGTGAAGAGGTTCCAGTGATGTAAGATGGACAATGAGTTTTGGCAGAAGAGAAACTTTCCCTATGTATTTTAATGAAAAGTATGAGTTTCAATGATTGTGTTTCTTAGAGTCAAAGTGGTGAGAAGTGACAAGTAGACGTCAGTAAAGTTCTCTGTGTAGTCAGGTGTGGACTGTTGATTGCAGGAAGATCTTTACAGACATAGGTGGTGGGGTCCGTTCTGCCACAAATACATCCAAGAGGAATGCCTATGGATAAGAAGGCATTTATAATTAATTGAAATCTAAACACATGGCTTATTTTGTCATTTAGTTTGCTCCACATTTCATTGCTCCTCATTATGGTGCGTTTGAGCAAAGGTTAAGTTAGAGAAGTCAGAAGTCAGAAAGAAGGAAAGGAGAAATAGGATAGAAGAAAAGGAGAGGCGCGTGGTTGAGTGGGGCTGTCGTTGTGACTGTTTGTTTTGAGTTGTGTGTACCACTGGAGGCTGATGCTTCCTGCATGTCGTATTTTTCTGATGGGACTCTCCAGGGTGGCTCAGGATAATAGCAACTCTCTCTCTCCCTCTCTCTCAGCCTTTGGGTAAAAGTGAATGGATGGTTGCTGTTTGAGTTCATTGGAGGACTTCAGAAGCAAGCTGACATTGAATTGGGCGGTGGGTGGTGGGTAAGGAAGAGAGACTGGAATTATCCTGAAGGAGTCTGAAGTTTCTAAATAGGTAGGGATCTCTCACGTAGGATCCGTAGACACCTGAAGTGTATGCATATTTCTGGGGAGACCAAAAGGGTTAAAAACGACTGCTCTAAAGCTTAGCTGTTGTCTCTAAAGTACGTAATTATGCTTTGCTAGGATGGGACGATAGGACACTCAGTGAAGAAATGGGAATGATCCATCTTTGGGCATATTAGGAGGTCCAGACCATAAGCTAGGGTCCCACACAGGATGAGTAAAGATGTTATTGCGAAGGACAGGAGGCACAGAAATAAATAAATGTGATCTGTTAGTGAATAAGGACAGAGCCATGGGTCTGTACCATTAATTGGATCTGTTCTTGTTCCCTTAGCCTCTGAGGCAAGGTTTCGAGGTCTTGCTTTTAAAACCCTAATCGAGGTGTGTGTTAGTTTCCTAGGACTGCTGTAACAAAGTACTACACATTGGGTGGCTTGAAACAAACTTACTGGCTCACGGTTCTGGAAGCTGGAAGTCTGAGAGGAAGGTGTCAGCAGGGCCTTGTGCCTTCTGAAACCTCAAGAGAAGACCCCTTCCTTGCCTCTTCCCAGCTTCTGGTGGCTGCCAGCAATCCTTGGTGTTCCTTGGCTTGTGGCTGCGTAGCTAATCTCTGCCTTCATCTTTATATAACCTTCCTCATGTGTCCTGTCTCCACATGGCCTTCCTCTGAGGATACCAGCCATTGGGCTTAGGGTGTATCCTAATCCAGTATGACCTCATCTTAACTAATTATATCTGTGAAGACCCTATTTCCAAATACGGTCACGTCCTGGAGTTCCAGGTAGACGTGAATTTTGGGGGGAGATAATTCAATCCAGTATGGACCTATCTTTGTGGACTGCTATGTTGTTTGGGGTTTAAGACTATATGGTGGAATAGAAGTGGTAGATAGAGTTGATGACAAAGAAAGTGGAGAAAAGACAGAAGATAGGTCTTCAGAATGGTTAAGATGGGTGGAGGCATAGAAGTTTAAAATGAGGGGTGCCTATCTGGCTCAGTTGGTAGAGCACATGACTCCTGATCTTGGGGTGGTAAGTTCGAACCCCATGTTGGGTGTAGAAATTACTTAAAATCTTACAAAAAGAAGTTGAAGATGATATTCTCTTAAATGAGATGTAAATTATCTTTGCAGTCAAGGTATCAAAGGCTCTAGTTTCAGGAGTAGGGAGGGTGTTTCTGACCTTTCTTCTGTTTCCTTCTTGGTGTAATTCCTTAGTTCTGCTTTCCTGACTTAAGAAACAGAGCCTTCAGCCTGGGTGGCTCAGTCAGTTGAGCATCTGGCTCTTGATTTTGGCTCAGGTCATGATCTCATGAGATCTCACGAGATCAAGCCCTGTGTCGGTCTCCGTGTTGGAGTGTGGGGCCTGCTTAAGAGTCTCTGTCTCCCTCAGCCACCCCCCACCCCCAATCTCACTCATTGTCTCTCTCTCTCTCCAAAAAAAAAAAAAAAGAAACAGAGCTTCAAAATAACCAACCAACCTCACCCCCTCCCCCAATTGCAAACAATTCCCACACCTAACTTGTATGACTTCATAAAGGAAGTAGCTTACAATAGTCATGTAATGCTGGCCCAGAGATTTTCCCCTTATTTATCATCTGAATCATGAAGCCACTTTATATAGTATTCATTGTATCATGGCTTCATGATACTAGCTAGTCTCATTTTCTGTCTAGAGCTGAAGTGAGATGAGGAAAATATCTCTACCTTATGAAAGGGTCCAAGGATCCCTGTGATAGGCTTTTAGTTGGGTTGGCTATTCCAGACTTAAAGCAGGCCCAGAATTCCATGCACTCTGGAACTTAAGGGTACTTGGAGGGGATACTAGTGGTTGCCAGGAGGGGTCTAGACTCAACTAGCTTATGATGATGATTATTTTTTTCAAAGATTTATTTACTTGAGAGAGAGCACAGAGGGAGAGGAGCAGGAGAGAGAGAAGCAGACTCCCCGCTGAGTAGGGAGCCCAACAAGGGCTTGATCCCAGGACCTCAAGATCATGACCTGAGCTGAAGGCAGACTTTATTTAATTATTTTTAAGATTTTGTTTATTTATTTGACAGAGACAGAGACAGCGAGAGCAGGAACACAAGCAGGGGGAGTGGGAGAGGGAGAAGCGGGCTTCCTGCTGAGCAGGGAGCCCGATGTGGGACTCGATCCCAGGACTCTGGGATCATGACCTGAGCCGAAGGCAGACGCTTAATGACTGAGCCACCCAGGCGCCCTGAAGGCCGACTTTTAACCAACTGAGCCACCCAGGCGCCCTGGTTATTCTTTCTTAGTCCCTTAAAGATGTGATGAATATCCTAGAACTCGGCTGACTCTATAAAAACATCTGGCTTATAGCCAAAGTGTTTTCCAGGTAGCTTCCTACCTGCAGATATCCAAAAATCTAAATCAGGGGTGCCTGGGTGGCTCAGTCAGTTAAGTGTCTGCCTTCGGCTTAGGTCATTCCAGGGTCCTGGGATCGAGTCCCACATCGAGCTCCCTGCTCACAGGGAGCCTGCTTCTACTTCTCCTGCCTGGTTACCCCCCCTTGCTTGTGCAGAGAGCACAAGCTCTCTCTTTCTGTCAAGTAAATAAAATCTTAAAAAAAAAATCTAAATCAGAGACTGTCTACCCCAGTTCCCGCAAAGCCTGGGAAAGGAGACCAGAAAGAACCACAAGCTGCGGCATTGGTCACAGAAAATGAAGGCATCCAAGTTACCAAAAGCAGGTAACAAAATAACGTCAAGAAAGTATGTTCCTAGAACTTGAATACGAATTTAGAGAATATACAAGAAGTTTTAATCCACATAGTTCTTAAGGTGAAATATTGCCTCAGGGCAGATAATAAGTCAGGGTGTGAGTCATCTCTCTTCAGTTGGAATGACAAGAGACCCAGAGCTTGGCACTAGAGATTCAAGGGTTATCCACACCCACATTCCTCTTCATGCCTCACCTGTCCCAGGTATGCACTAAAACTCCAGCTAAAAATAACTACAGAAACTCGATCTCTGGGAAATAGCACTGAACAGTCTAACCCTAAAGTGAAGAGCTGGTTTGTGCCAAATAGAAGAGAGACAGGAAGAAAATGGGCTCATGTGGGACCATGTAATCTCTAGGATGTGGGCCCTGATGTCTGTTTTTATTCTTGGAAGTTTTAATCTGCTCACAGCCATCCCTCCACCTGATACCTCCGTTAACCTGAGGATGCCATCTAGGGGCTGACAGAAACCAGAAGGATGGGGGAATGCAATGGAGTGTGGGCAAAATGTTAGTCAAGAGACCTGTTGACTTGCTGTGTGACCTCGTGGGAGTTACTGAATCTTGATTTCTCTCATTTGTTAATATGGAAATAAGAGCATCTATCCCATCTGCCTCCCAGAGTCTTG